AGTGAGCCTGATTCACCTATGCAATTAGCACGTGAAAAGCTTACTTCGAGCTCGTCTGATTCGAAGCTTGCTGATGGAAATGTTGAGGATGAGGAAGAGGGTTCTGGTAATGATGACGAGAAAGAGAATCCCAGGCGACTTTTTCATTATGACCCTTATTCTCACGCAATGTATCATAATCAATGGGGGCATTTTGATCCCGAGTTCCATGAGTATCATCCGGGTTTACCTCCTCCTTGGATTAGGAGGTTTCGCAGACAACCATGTCCTCAATTATGGAATCGTTGGGATGACAGAGAGAAGAGAAGAAATCAAGAATACAGGCTTCCTGGTTTTATGCAGGAAACTGGACCTACTGGTGTGGTATGTCTAAGAGGTTATTATTTTGAATTTATTTGATGTGCATGTGTCTATTGATGTTTATCCATTGTGATATTAAATTTTTGTTTTGTTTTTTGGTGCTGGTTTTGCAGGGTGCTGCGCTTTTTAATAAAGGAAACACTTGTTATATTAATGCAATCCTGCAATGCTTTACGCATACTGTGCCTCTTGTTCAGGCTCTTCGTTCTTGGAATCATGAAACGCCCTGTGAGTACCAGCTGTGGATAGCTACTTGGATCTGAATTGTTTGTACTGTTTAATTGAATTTCAGTTTTGGTATTTACTGCTGGACATTGGGAGTTTTCAGGCATTACTGAAGGGTTCTGTGTTCTCTGTGTTCTTCGTGATCACATTGAACTTTCTTTATCTTCGTCTGGAAAGATTCTTGAGCCTTTGAAACTTGTCAACAATTTGGAAAGTATCCTTTGAACTTTTGTTTTGTTTATCATTGAGCAACATGTGGCAGTGGATTAATTATCTTAAGTGCACTATGAATTACTTTGGCCATTACATTTCTTGTGCATCATCGTTTAGTGTAATTGTCATTTCTGGGCTGCTGAATTCTAAGTTTCAAGGGACTTTCAAGTACTCCCAACTGACCTTTTAGTATTGTGATTTCTCTCTCTCTCTCTCTCTCTCTTTTTTAATACTGTTAGTGTTTTGGATACTTCGAACTTTAGATTTCTTCTGCAATGCCTACTTGATATTTTGAGGAAAATTTTCTGAAAATTTTGGACTTAAATGTGATTCTTAACCCATGAATAATTAGATATTTCATCTGTTTTTCGTCGATACCAGCAGGAAGATGCCCATGAATTCTTCCAATGTTTGTTAGAAAGACTTGAAAGGCATTGTTTGGATTCAAGCCTAACTGATGACAGCGCATCCTCCCATGATAAGAACATAGTTGAGCGGGTATTTGGAGGTCGTCTTGTTAGCAAAGTATGAGTCTGAGGAGTGAATTTTCCCATTTAATTCCCTTTAATTTGCATATTGCTGGTGTACAAAGAAAGTTTGAAGTATTCATTTCTCCACTTTCAATGCTTAGAACAAATGTTTGTTTATTATTAATTCTTGCCTTGGCATTGAATTTTAGTTACGATGCTGCAATTGTGGTCACTGTTCTGATAAATATGAGCCACTGATTGACCTGAGTTTGGAGATCGAAGATGCGAACTCTCTTCAGAGTGCACTGGAGTCATTCACCAAGGTGGAGAAAATTGAGGATTCAGGGACAAAGTTTACATGTGAAAGCTGCAAGAAGGAAGTTTCTAGGGAAAAACAGCTTATGCTGGACCAGGCTCCTTCAGTTGCTGCTCTTCATTTGAAGAGATTCAAGATTGATGGGACTTCTATTGAGAAGATTGGCAAGCATGTGCAGTTTCCACTGGAGTTGGACTTGAAGCCCTACACCAATGACAATGAGGACAGTGATGTGAGTCATGGATTACTAGTATCACTGAATCAGGATCGCTTCCATTTTAAAAAGCGATAAGTGATCTTAACAAATTTTAAATGGTAATCAAGATGAAGAGCATGGAAAAAGGCATGCTAAGAGAATTTAAAATTGAAATCAAACTACGATTACTGTCCATTTAATTGATCTTTTTACCTGCAAAGGTCAAATACTCTGCTAGTCTGGGAAAGGGAAATAAATGGTTGAAGACTCGACTCATGTCACATCAAAAAGTAAAATTTGTTGGTTTTGTTGTATTAGTTTGTGTTTTGTGAGCATTTAGTAAAACTCTTCCATTTTCTTGACAGGAGGTGGGTTTCAAGTATCAACTATATGCGGTTGTGGTGCACAAAGGAGATTCACTTATGTCCGGACATTACTTTTGCTATATAAGATCCTCTCCAGACACATGGCACAAGTTGGATGACCCAGAGGTAATAAATACTAGATTCAATCTCTTTGCTGTTGATTGTTGTTGTTTCGCTTCCAATCTCCTTATAGAGTATGCCCCTGCTTACTTTTAAACCTATAAATGATAAATGATGAATGAGATTGCATCATCACTTGGTTATATTGTGTTATCATGTGATTATTTTTAACTTCTGTCGGTTAAGTCAGGGTTTTTACCTTTTCCTGAACACGGATTTGTCCTGAAGTGGAATTGTGGTGTCACTTCCAACAGTTATCTTACAATTTCTATTTATGTTTTTTCAAAAGCCATCCTTTTCTTGATTTAAACATTTTACCCCTCTAAAGTCAATTGTTTGGAAGGTATCAAACCAGCGAAGTCCTCCGGCTTCCTATCTGCTGGATAAATAATATTTTTGAACAAATTTTACCAGCATCATGTGTGTTGAGCATGGGTGCGTTCCTTTGTGTGTTTAATGGAAGAGATTGGAAATATTTATTATGTAATTCTGCCTGTAATACCTTTTGAGGGTTGATTGAGTTGGGTGTATTAACTATTAGTTCTGAAATGATGGTATCTCACAAAACTAAATTAACTGCCATATTTTTCAGGTCAGCAAGGAACAGGAAGAATTTGTACTCTCTCAAGCTGCCTACATTCTGTTCTATGCTAGGGAGGGTACACCCTGGTGTTCAAGTTTGATCAAACCACAAGAGCTTTGCTCAGATCCCAACAATTCAAATACATCACCCAAGTCAGTTCTAGATAATGTTAACCGTGAATGCACTGGTGTAGGGGATAACAAAAGTTCTGAAACCAATGTAATTAAGGATGCCATTGAGGCAACTTCAACTCACATCCCTTTTGAGAGAAATTTTGAAGAGAGTGAATCTAGAGTTGAGACTAGGGGAAATTTTGCTCAGATTTCCCCTGCCAAGAGACCAAACTTTCATCGCATTTTGTCTATAGGTGAGACCCCCATGGTTGATGTTTCTGTGCCATTTGGAGCAAGTGATTACCACGATGGAGTTTTGCATGATGAGATGTTATGTTTTCCGCCTTCTGTTGAAGAAGATAACTGCAATCAGGGTGCTGAGAAAATTGAAATAAATGGTGATCTGCATTCCCCAACTCCACACAGATCACCCACTCCAGATAAAGGACTGCCAGGTAAAAGAGTTTATTCCATCAAAGTGTTTGCATAGTTCTTTCAAGTCCATATTATCTGAAATGAGATGAATGGAACTTTTCAGAAGCCAGACATCGTATTCTGCGAGATCATCAGAAAGGGGAGAACCGGGTGAATTGTAAAAGATCATCAAAAAAGGTCGCAAAGGATTCACAGACAGCAGAAGCTCTTAGATGCATCAAGAGAATGCCAACTGCAAGGGGCATGAAACTTATGGCTGCCTTGCTTCCTAGGAATGACAAGACCAGACCAAGATCATCTCCATGTAAAAGGGCCAGCCCTCCTGGTTCTCGCTGCAAACCCACCATACGCATGGCAGTTATGCGTTGAATAGTTGAGGTTTTGTTTTATTTTATTTTGCTGGCTTGGTCTTTGGCCAACATAGAAGCAATATACTTCAAATGCTAAGTTAATGCCTCATAGTGAATATTGCCTTTCTGAGCTGCATGTTGACCACTCTGTTTCCCATATGATGTTGGGAAAGCAGGTACTCTGGTCTCTTAGGTTTGGCTATACGTTTGGTCTGGGCAATGTATAGTTCAAATGAAATGAAGTTTACTCTTTTGCAACCTTGCTTTCGAATTTAGAAGTGGCCTCTGTTACTAGCACTTTGAGCTTTGAAGCACACATAAATATGGCGTAGAGTTTGTGTTGGAAATAAATGACAGAGCACTCGGCGCCTGTTCAGTTTGTATATATGGCTGTTTACTGTTTTTAGCTTCTGATCAAGCCAGTTAGACTGAAAGTCAGGGTACTTGGGACTCAGGAGGGTTAGGTTTTTTTTTTTTTAAATACCCATCCATATTTATACTCAAGACATTTATGCAAAAAAAAAAAAAAAAGAACAAGATTTAGGGTTCTTCCCTATCGAAAAAATAAAAAAAAAATTCAGGTCCGAGTTTTTTCTTCCCAGAGTTGACATGGTTTATGCTAATAGTTTCTATAACGCCAAAATGAAAAAAAGAATATTTGCTTTTTTGCATGATTGAAAGGTTAACTTGAAATAAAAAACAGGTAACAATACATGTTAAAACCGCTATTTGACATGCCTTCTCAGTCATCTTATATTCCCATACAAAGTTGCGAGCTGACTTCAATCGTCTTTGCTGATAAAAGCTTCTAGTTTCTTTCTTTTTTGATTAAAAATAAAGCTTTTAGTTTCTTTCGTCATCGATAATATCATGGCAAGGATGTTTCACTGCTGTGTCACGAACCTTTTAGCCTTACTATGGTGTATCTGTACATCATGCCAGCTGCAGACAAACTACAAGCATGTAGCCTTGGTTCTATGTTGAAATTTAAAGATAAGCATCGTGGAATATGCATAGGATGCCTTTGTTCAAATCAAGAACTTAACAAAGCTGATCCTAGGTTCCATCTGAATTCCAAGGCCTCATTTTGGTTGTTCCTCTACAGACAAAAATGGAACTAATTATAAAAGTATCACAAGACCTTCATACTAAATCCTTCCTTTTCTTCTTTCCATAAGGAGCGTTTGAAATTGACATGGCTGATTCATTCACAGGGGGTGAAAGTAGTCACCAAGGAAGGCCACAACTTTTGAGAAGCAGCCAGTTGCCGGAAATTGCTAGCTCTACCACTCAGGTGGTCCTAGTCATGGATGGACTCAAGGAGTTCACCATAAAGCCGCTTAAGTGGGTTCTTGAGAATATTTCAGCATCCGGTGGCATTAATGTCACTCTCCTTGGAGCCATGCCGTGGCTCAATATTCCTCGTCAGTATCTAATTTATTCTAATCTTCTTGTACAAAATTCATATCCTGTGCTCTTGCATATTGTGTGAACAATTGATGAAATGTTTAGTTTATGAGGTGAATAACCCCGGGCTTAATTTTGCCTTCTTAGTATCTGCAAAGACGTGGCAAGGTATTTGGGCCGTGGGATTTGAAGAATTAGCTATGGCAAAAGAACAAGGTGATGAATGGAGGAGTGACTCTAAATATGTAAAGCTTCAAGCAATTCTTGACCTCTGCAAGAGATTTGGGGTATGAATTAGCCATGCCACATCACTCATTTTATATTGAAATTCCTGCTAATTAGTTCACATGTAATTTATGCAGGTTAATGTGCCACAGAAGGAAGTTGTGATGGGTTATCCCTTGAAACTGATGGTGGTTGAAAAGCTTACAAGCCTTAATGCATCATGGGTGGTTTTTGAAAGGTAAAAAAATAACGAGAAACAGTCATTGTTGTACATTTTCTCGAGGGCCATGAAGATTTTTGCTGATATAATCTGTTGTGCTTAGTAACAGGCATCAGAGAAGAGACATGGAATCCATTGCGGATAAATTTCCATGTAACATGGTTATGATCAATGAAAATGGAGAGCCTGTTATTATCAAAATGCAGCCACTGAGTAGTGGAGAGTTCACTTCAGGGGGATCACCAGCATCTTTTCTATCTTCTCCGCTATGATTTCTCATTATCTGTTGGAAGTTCCTGAGGAGAAATTAATCACCAGATAAACATGAAGATCACTAACAAGAATGTTTCTATTTGATTAGTTATGGATTTGTAATTTAAAGATATTGGGTGGAAGTGATGCACAGCTGATGATGATGGTGAAATTCCTTGTGGGACGTGGGCAATCAAGGACTAAATCATAACTTGGTTCTTCAGCCTACTTGGAGTTGCACTTCGAAACAGTCCCCCCTTTTCTTTTTCTTGTAATAAAGCGCAGTTTCACCCTTTTGGTTCTGGCTGTACGTTACTACATTGAGTTCTTGGAGAGGGGTGGGGGGGGCCTGGGGGCAGTTCCCCGTGTCATGAAGTTATTTCTGTTGGATTGATTTAGCAAGAACATGATAACATGAATTGGCAGGACTAAAAGTTTTAATTATGATTTACCTACTGTCAAGACATAATATTCACAAAATTGGATAAAGTGCTGCAAGCCTGCAAGTATAGACTGAGGAAGACTACGGTAAAAGTCCATGAAACAAAGTTGGGCCCGATAATAATAGCCTCCGTATAAAATCTTGCGGAGAGTTACATGGACTTTTAGCAGACCGTTGATGATTTTGCTTAAAACTGCAATGTAAAAACGAGGGAGTAGAAATGCTTTTTGTGGCCACAATCTCAATTCTGTGGCAAGAAGGGAATGACTAACATAAAGAAATCAACAGTAGTTGAAGTGTGCTGCAGTTGCATTTCTTGTATATATGATCCTGATAACGGGGAAGAAGAGAGCCCGCAATTCTAGCACCCAATACCATCCACGTTATAATTTAGAGCAAAGTTGGCTCAAGAAAGAACATTTCGAAACATTGTTATTGAAATTCCTTCATGTTTTCTAGCAGAATAAAACTACATTATAATGTCACCATGAATCCCTTGCTAGAGAGTATGAAACACTTTTGACCTTCATTGGGCTAAAACCTATTATTGATGACTTTTATAGAGAGAAAGGAAGGATGCTGACATGGTAGAGACTAGAGAGAGATGAGACTTCTGTGCCAGAACGAAGAAATAGAAAAAAAAACACAGTAATATATACAAGCAAAACAACACTAGATGCTTAATGAATCATGGATGGCCATGATAAGGGATCTTTTGGTTTAGAATGGAGGTGCTTCATTTAAGCAAGTGTTTTGTTGAGAAAAGAGTGGTTGATCTGCTAGGAACATGCCACATAAAAGTTGCCTCCACATATACTGGTCCATTACACACATGCACACTAGAATGCATGCAGTCTCTCATCCACCCTCTAGCTATTGTGCAAATACGCTGTCCTCCATATCTGTGTGTTGACTTTTGTGCGCTTAAAGATTCATAATTTCTGAGAAGCATGAACCTAAAGACCCAAATCGTCCCCATTTCTGTGGTAATTATTGATGTTCAATTTGAAGTTCTGGACAAACAATTTCCTGCAATATCCCATCAATGTTATCTTGCTTCAGAATGTTCCTAGCACGCTATGATTTGGCGTTGACTTGTTATAGGACCTCAGCAACTAAATATATATGCTACTATTCGATTCTCTCTTTCTTACCACTTTCTATTCTTATAATGACAATGTGCTCAATTTATTAGATGGACTGTTGCTTATTCTCTCCTGTTCTGTGTAAATTAGACCTAAATAAATTTCCTTTTGTTTTGCGATTACATTTCTCCAGTCATAATTAATCTAACGAAAATCATGGATTTCCAGTTGATTACTTAATCTGCAACAAATGCAGAGATAGCTCTGGTAATTTAGGAGGGCATAAGCTTGGATAAATGCCAATTAATTTTCACCAATAGTATGAATCACGGCAATGAACTGTAAACACCGAAGCAGGCTATGCACCACTGCTGGAATATCTGTGAACGTCAAACAGATGCCGCTGGCAATCTTAACAGCAAGTATATTCATAGATATATACATCACAGAATCTACTCTGTTGCTTGCACAATTAATTAATTAAGAAGCCTGTTCTTTCAAGCTAAACCAGAGTGGATCAGGCAAGGAACATCGAGGGAGTGCTCAGTCTGGCGTGGGTCTTGAATTATATCTTTTCTGCTTCTATGTATCGTTACAATTTGACCAGGACATCCGACAACACAAGCTTCTGCCCACTTTACTATAATTAGCATGCAGAATGACAAGCTTATAATTTGTTCTTTGAACTTAATTAGATTGTAATTGAGAGAGTGTCATATCACTAACTCCTTAGAAAGGAAGATGGCTAAGAGCATGGCCGTTCCCTTTACGATACAATATCATAGTTGCGGCAATAACTTGGATTGCTTGCTATTTATCGTAAACACATACGGCATGCAACGTGATTACTTGTCCAAATTAATCCAAGTCCTCTCTAAGTTCTGCCCACAGAAGCGCCAAATTCTACGTGATTTTCACGTCAAAACAATAACTAAAACCGATCGATAAAGAAGAATTTATATTACTTAAAAATCTGATACAAAATACGAAGTGCATGAGTAACAATCTTCATGTTAATTATATATTAGTAGATATTAACATATTCTTAACCAGATTACTCTTATTTCTCGCACCACAACGGACGGGTAAATTTTTCTTAAGGTTGGTGTAATAACGAGTTCCATTCTCAAGGAGCATAGCCACCAGCACCGTGGCCTCCACCGCCTCCGGACCCAACTCCATGCTCACTACCAGCACCATAACCAGCACCACCACCTCCTCCAAAGCCGCCGCCGCCACCACCAGCATGGCCATCTTCGGCACCACCACCACCATGACCACCACCTTCTCCTCCACCATATCCGCCTCCGTGTGCCCCTCCAGTCGCATAGCCGCCTCCACCACCTCCACCGCTTCCACCTCCACCGCTTCCACCCCCACCTCCATAGCCTCCACCATGTTCTCCACCAGCACCATATCCACCCCCAGCACCACCACCTTTTCCACCTCCATACCCTGCACCATTATCACCTCCAACACCATATCCCCCACCGCTACCCCCTCCTCCTCCACCACCAGCACCATATCCAGCTCCACCACCTTCTCCACTTCCACCACCACTTCCATATCCTGCACCGTGGTCACCACCAGCACCATAACCAGCTCCTCCTCCACCACCACTTCCACCACCTCCATGTCCAGAAGCAGCACCATATCCAGCTCCACCACCTTCTCCACATCCACCACCACTTCCATA